AGGGCAGGTCCGCTCGCCAGACAGACAGAGAGACAGAAAGTGAGAAATCACCCCCCAGGGGGGATAGTCACTACAATATACTGCTCACAATGCTATTAATTGTTACACAGACATACACACACACACAATTTATTGTGAGCTTCATAATCACTCTCAGAAGGGTTATTACTAATGAGGAGCAGAGAAAAAACTAGCCATGTACAGATGTTGACAAGCTCTGATTACCTAACATGCATTAAATGTGATCAAATCCTGGCTGAACATTGAGGAGGTGGAGAATGTGTGTGCATGTGTGGTACATGCAGTGCTAATGAGGTAGAACATACACTATGATGGAATAGATCAGCACCATGTAGACAAGGTAGAATAAAATGATTTACTTGCCTAAAATGCCTAATATAATGCATAATGAGGTGACTGATACCCTATCATTTGTTTTTATTGTATTCCTTTTGTAATTATCTTGGTGTCAAATATATTTATCACTCTTTGTTTAAGAAACAATCTTTTACACAGAACACCATCATAATCCAAAGATTTTTTTTGCTCTGTGGTTAGGGAAGTTTTTCTCCATTAAAAACTTCTTATGTTACTTTTATTCAATTTTAAACTTTATTTTCTAAATATTTCAAGTACAAATAACTCATTTACTCCAACAGTGTAAATATATATTAACTCATTTACTACAATAACTTTCTTAATACAAGTTTTTATTTTGGAGAACACTTTATCTTTCTCACTGGTTGCATTCTTCCTAATGCTAATAAGAACAATATTTAACATTTTTAATAGAAAACTAAGTTTTTTCATAGAAAACAAAATAAAAATTCATAACAATAAAACATAGGTGTGCTGAAACATCAAAAAGATTTCAAGAGATTCACATCAATCAACCTTTGTTTTAATACTCCACCTCTACTCCATGACCCCCGTTCACATCATTTTCTAATTTATCCCCACTATTCCATAATAATGGAGGTTGTCATGAAAATAGCTTCAGTATTTGTGACTTCTAAGGAGGCAGTAGAAGCTTTGAAAACTTATAGCTGACAAAAGGCATCACTTAAAAGAAAACGAATAATGTCTTCCATTTTTTAAATTTTTAAACTTCCACATGAGAGAGAAACCAATATAGGGGTTGGAGAAATGACACAAATGTTCTCATCTGAAAGTACACTTGCTAGAATGTCTCTGCAAGGTTACAGTGTTTGAAGTCAGAAAAATGATTACAAAGTTTACCAATGCAAGCTCTTTTTGTTGATTTTTTTGTTTAACTTGCCTTAACCAAATTTAATCTCCAAAAGAGAGACTATCAAGGAATAATAGTTATTATCATGCAGTATTAAATTTCTGCTGATGGTGGAAATGGCATTGTATTTCAGTCAATTAACAGCTTCACAGTTAAATATTTGTTAAATCAACATCCTTTAAATTTATTCTTTGTACTTTCTCCTAAAGGTCTAGCAGGAAGAAAAAAAAAAAAAGCTAAGCAGCTGAAGAATGACAAACCACACAGAAATAACTGGGTTTATCCTCGTGGGATTGTCAGATGACCCACAGGTTCAGGTGGTGATCTTTGTCTTCCTCTTCATCACCTACATGCTCAGCATCACTGGGAACCTGACCATCATCACCCTTACACTGCTGGACTCCCACCTCCAGACACCCATGTATTTCTTCCTCAGGAATTTCTCCTTGTTAGAAATTTCCTTCACAACTGTCAGTATACCAAAGTTCCTGAGTACCATTATTTCAGGAGATAAAACTATATCCTTCAATGATTGCATGGCTCAGTTATTTTTCTTCATTCTCCTGGGAGTCACAGAATTTTACCTCCTGGCTGCCATGTCCTATGACCGTTATGTTGCCATCTGCAAGCCTCTGCATTACATGACCATCATGAATCGTAGAGTCTGCATACTACTTGTCTTTGCTTCTTGGCTGGCTTCATTCCTAATCATGTTCCCATTACTCATGTTGCTCTTGAAGCTTGATTACTGTCGTTCTAATATTATTGACCATTTTACCTGTGATTATTTTCCCCTACTGCAACTTTCTTGTTCAGAAACAAAATTCCTGGAGGCGATGGGATTTTCCTGTGCTGTGTTCACTCTAATGTTCACATTGGCTTTGATATTGCTGTCCTACACATACATCATCAGAACCATTTTGAGGATTCCTTCTAGCACTCAGAGGACAAAGGCCTTTTCTACATGTTCATCCCATATGATTGTCATCTTCATCTCTTACGGCAACTGCATTTTTATGTACATTAAACCTTCAGCCAGAGATAGAGTGTCTTTGAGCAAGGGGGTTGCTGTGCTAAACACCTCAGTAGCCCCCATGCTCAACCCCTTTATATACAGTCTAAGGAATCAGCAGGTCAAACAAGCCTTCATGGAAATGGCAAGGAAGACTATATTTTTCTCAAGCAACTGTAAAGGTGTGGTGTCATGAATTTGCATCACACTGAAGGATAATTTAAAGAATATAAACAAAAAAGCTTAAGAACTTATTCAAGTTAATATCACTGCCCCATCATCCATTTTTATTTTCTTACTTTTATCCTATGAATATGCATGAATATTTAATTTTTAAATCTAATTTGAATTACATGTCGTATTCCTTCCATTCTCTCTGTTCTCATAACTTATTTATCACAACTTCTAGCAGATATTTATCATGTACTTATATCAAATTTGGAGTTTTGTTTAGAAAGGCTTTCCTAGTCATGGAGTAAACACTTCAGAACTTTTGATACATTTTCCTTTACACGTGCAGAGAATATAATTTTATTAAACTTCTTTTTATAGGCAGTCTCTTTACTATCTTAAAGTTTCTCTAGGAAATATTTCTTAAATGCCTCACAATTTAAGAAAAAGTGTAATTATTTTATTTGAATAAATTTATTCTTTCACTTTAATAATGATTTCACTGTGATTGCATGTTTGTTTATTTATTGACAATGAGCTTAGATCATTAATAATATATGCTTTCGGTATATTTGCTTAGTAGTTCTCCTATTTCCATGTATCACAATCATTCAAAAAATACATAGGTAGATATGTAAGGAGATCCATACATAATGCATACCCATATGAATTAAAAAATGGTAAAGCAATAATCATTAGACATTGAGATAAGTTTTTCTCTGTAATTCTATATAATCACCTTTCCAACAATAAGTTTCTAATATTAGGATGTATGTGTGTATATTTTCTAATTTTTTAAAGAATTATTTATTTATTTAATTCCATTTATTGTTATATTTTTATCTTACCAGAGAAAGACAGAAAGAGAGAGAAAAGAATGGAAAGGAGAAGGGAGAAAGCAAGCCACCAGGTCTAGGACATGAACCACGGTCTGCCTATGGGAATCCAGTGCCTTTAACCATGACACTACCTGCCGGCCCCTGTGTTTGCTAATTTATAATTCTATTTGGGTAAGTGTCATGTTTCAAACATATCTAAAACTGGAACGGTAGCTGTATATATGTAGAAAAACACACATATACAAGAGAATTTCAAAAAGTTTGTGAAAACTAGAATTAACATATGAGATTATTTTGAAGCAAAAATATTTGAAATTCATGTGTAGATTTTTATCTTGTTTATAGATTTAAAAATATTTTATTTAGTACATGAACAAAGGATACAGAAAGATAGTCATCACCCCCAAAAGGGTCTTGATGCCGTGATTCATTTCCTGATCATGGGCACATGCATGCTTAAAGTACTCAGGGAGGTCTCTAGTTTCAAACCTGGAACTTTCTGATGTAAGTCAGGTTCATAGAACACAGTGTTTTCCACTTTGCCACTTTCTGGTACACACTCATGCATGGCTTTTTTGTAATCATTTTTCTTGAATTTTTTGAACACTCCGTGTGTGTGTGTGTGTGTGTGTGTGTGTGTGTGTACATCTAATCCATCCCTGAGCAAGCATTAGGTTATTTCTATATCTTGGTTATTACAAATAATGCTACGATGAAAATGGGAGTGCAGTTGTTTTGGTTTCCATATTTCTGAATACACATTCAGGAGTAGATCACTTGATTCAGGTTGCTCTTTTTCTGAGGCCCCTCCATGCTTTTTCCATACCAGTTATGTAATTTTACATTCCTACCAACACTGTTCAAGAGTTCCAATTTCTCCAATTCCTCACCAAGACTTCTTATTGTTTTTTTTTCCTAGATAATGACTATTGTAACAGGTCTGATACGATATTTCGCTGCAATTTTGATTTGTATTTCCCTGATGATTAGTTATGCTTAGCATCATTTCATATACCTTTAGGCCATTTGTATTAGGGTGTTAAGAAAACATGAGCCTCTTATCAGATACTGGGCTCATAAATATTTTTTCCATTGCCTTATGTCACCTCTTCAATCTGTTATTGTTTCTTAAGATGTGCACAAGCTATTTAGTTAAATGCAGTCTCACTCGTTTATTTTTTACTTTGTTCACTGTGCTTTTGGTGTGAAACTAAGAAATCATGCCATAGACAAATGAAATCCCCTCCTCCCATGTTTACCTATATGAATTTTATGATTTCAGGTTAAGTTTAAGTCCTAATGCATTTCAAGTTGAGTTTTGTTAATGGTGTAAGGTGGGTCTAATTTCATTGTTTTGCTTGTGGATATTCAGACTTCCCAGCCCTTTTGTTGCATAGACTATTTTTTCCCCATTGTGTGTTCATGACACCCTAGCAGATTTAGTTGCATGTGAGGGGGCTTCACAAGTTCATGGAAATTGGAATTGAAGTACCAGTTTATTTTGGTACCCATAATGTGAAATCTTTACATAGTTTTCTGATAATACACGCTTTTAATAAACTTTTTGAAGCCCTTCATGTAAATGCATGGGTTTATATCAGGGTCTTGTTCTTTGTGTATATGTCTGTTTTGTGTCAATACCATAATTTCAATTGTGCGCATTTGTTATGTATTTTGAAACCAGGTTGGGTGATGACTTGATTTATTCTTTTTTCTCAAGATTGATTTGGTTATTTGGGTTCTCTTGTGCTTTTATATGCATTTAAGTATTTTTTGAACGATATTATTTATGTTTTGACAGGTTGCATTGGATCTGTAGTGTCTTATGTAGTATGAATATTTTTAATAAAGTTATGTCTGCCAATCCATGAAAACACTATGCGTTTCTATTTTTGTATATTCTTTAATTCCTTTCATCAATGTTTTCTAGTTCAATAACAAACCTTTACTCTTCATAGCTATTTATTTCTAAGTAGTTGATTTAAATATTTATTTCTTAATTTGTATATCAGATTATTCATTGGTAGCATATAGAACTGCAACTGATATTTTAATGTTGATTTTATATCCTGTAATATCTCACTCAGTTTGTTATTACTTCTTACAGTATTTTGGAATCTTTAGGTTTTGTTTTGTTTTGTTTTGTTTTTTAACATAGATCATGTCATTGCAAACAGAGGTAACTTTACTTTCTCTGATTTGAGTGTCTTTTTTTTTCCTTCTCTCACCTAATTGCTTTTCTTTACCTAAAAATGATGAAAGTTGGTACTCTTATGTTTTTGTTAATCTTAGAAAAAAGTTCTTTTCTTCTTCTGTTATTGATTTCTGGTTTGATTTCATTGTGGTTAGAAAAGATACTTGGTTCTGGATAATAAATGGTAATGTTTTTGACTTGACTAATAAGCACTGTATTCATGCTGAGAAAAATCATGATGTACACTGTAAAGATGTACAGTGATTAAATTAGAATAAAAATACATTTAAAAAGAAATTAAAAGCATGTCTTCTTTCATATTGATATCATTAATAAAAAAGGAAAGATACTTAGTAAATTTCAATGATGTTGAATTTGTTAACCTGCTGTGACCTAGCATGTGATCTATCCTGGAGACTATTCTACATGTGCTGCGAAGTATATGTATTCTGCTGATGTTGAGTGACATATTCTGTACACGTCTGTTAAGTATAGTTATCTATAAAGTGATTCACATTCAGTGTTTACTTTTTTATTTACTATATTGAGGTGTTATCCATTATTGAAAATGAGCTACAGAATCCTCCTACTATTACTGTGTTGCTATATTTCCCTTCAGTTTTGTTGATATTTGCACACTTAGGTGCTCTGATATTAAGTGTATACATATATATATATATATATATATATATATATATACACACACACATACATATATATATATTTAGATTATTTTATCTTCCTTATGAATTTATCTTTTCATCATCACATAATGAATTTATTTATATCTTGTGAGAGTTTTTTTTTATATTTAAAGTTTATTTTTTCTGGGCCTAGTCATTAATAGAGCAAGATCTCACATGGTTGACTGTGTGGTTAAAATCTCGGATCCAGCAGTTTGAAAAACATGCTGGGCACATGTGCATACATTCCCCAAATCATGTCAGGTTGGAAAAACAGAAGAAAAAGGATTACAGTATGACCACACTCCATTGAGGAATGCATTCTCTCTTTCTCTTTTATTCCCTCTCTGGGGGGCACACATGGATATTAAAAATAAAAATTAGTGCCAGCAGATGTGTGATAATTAAGGCACTGGATCTCACATGGCCAACTCTGTGGCTAGAGTCTTTGACACACTGACCTGAACATGCACTAGACATGTGTGCATGCTCACCCAAAATCCCAAGGAAAATGGGGAGAAGGAACTGCCATAAGACTATCCCCTAGGATGTGATTTCTAACTTTCCTTCTCTTTCTGCCTCTTTCTCTCTCTCTCCAGTGAATATACATTCTTCATGAAAAAAAAATCTTTAAAAAATTAAGTTGAATTTTTAAAATAAAGTTTATTTTGTCTGATTTAAGTATAATTATCCCTGCTCTTTTGGTTACCAAGGTAATCAAACACCTAACATGAGTATCTTTTAGACAAAAAAATTACTGGATCTTGTTTTTCCATCTATTAGGCCATGTGTTTTTATACCATAATGGGGTTCTCTAATGTACTTTTCTCACCTTTCTTTTTCACTCCTATTGTCTTCTTATGTAATTCACTAAATTTTATTTTTATAGTGCTAAGCTTTGATTTCTTTCTATTTTTAAAAAATATAACTGTAGGTATTTTGTTTTCTGCGTGATTACTATAAGTTGACCTAAAACATCTTATAGCTAGCTATAACAGCGCTTAAAAAAATTAAGGTATTTTCCATAGGGTACTTGCCCTGCCTGGAGAGAGATAGCAAAAGAGGCAAGATGAGAAATCACCCCCAGGGGACATGACCATGCCGCAAATCCTTCTCCTCTGTTCTCCTCCTGTGATTTTAGGTATGTACCCACAAGCATCTGTTCTTCCTGTCAAGCTGCCAGTGCTGAAACTCAAACCATGGTCAGCCATGTCAAAGTTTGGTGCCACCTGCTGGTCCCCATAATAGTTTATTTTAAGGATAATAGGAACGTGACTACAATTGTCTATGAAAACTCCAAGTTACATTT